TGTGTGTGTGTGCATTTTTGGCCTAAGAACGCCTTCAGAAATAGCATAATCTTTGCACTTTATGCATACTGGTGGGTGAATTGATCAAATTCTAAAATTATATTTTGTTAAGCCATTGATCCTTGATCCCAAAGCCTGGTCACTGACCTATTTACATCAACTCATTGTCTAATTTTAGATTTGATCTCTAACTTTCATGCCCTGGTTATTAAATGCAAATATAATCTATTTGCGGAGCACCAATATTTCACCAATAATTCTGTCAACTAGGACCCCTTCATCTTTGATATTCAAATTTATCACGATATCTACTCTGCATCACAGATGCGAAGTATGAAGTATTATTCTTTTCCGGTTACACTAAATGTAATTAAGTCTATAGAAATCAAGAAGACTTTCCTCTACTTTATCTTCTTCATTGTATTTTATTAAGGCACCTCATCTTTGTCCACAAATTTATTCATGCTAATGGATTGAAGAAATCACTTGTTTGCCATGGCTGATCATTCATAGTTTATGCAAATGCAGCGGGTTGGGCGTAGACTTATTCATATATACAAAAAGTAATTGCATCTCTCCTTCCATGTTTGATGTGTTTACTGCTGCTCGATCACTTTGGCTGAGTTTCAAGTTTTGATTTGCAATCTATACATCCGCTATTACTGTAATATGGCATATTCTCTACAGAAATGTAAATCTCGAATCCCAAACCTGTCATGAAAGCATCCACATATTTCTTCTTCACAGATGTAGATATTTCAAAGAAGTCTCTCCTTCTATACCATTTTTCCGATAGAATATGTGGTTTAACCTATATTATCTTACTTCCTGAATATATATAAATATATATATATATATATGTCCGCCAATCTACTTTCAAATGTGGATAGTAATTTTCTGGACAATATTTATTCCTTCCAAAAATTAATGTAAAAAAATTTCATATTCATTTTGATACTATTCTTTTCAGCTTACCCGCCTTATATGGCCATTGGCCCTTCGAAATCTGCGAATCCTTCATGTCTTGCTTTGTTGTCTGGCCAATGCTAGCGCTGATTCGCCAGACATGGCACATGCCCTCATTGTCGGTCCTCAATCTGGATCAGCATCAGCTCTGACGACACCGGCATCAGGCAAAGCTCCATCTCTTACAGCTAAGGCGTTCACGGCTGGAAGCGGAGGTACCGTGACCACCGGTAATAGCTCGAGTGTCACCTCCGTCGGGAGCTGCAGTGGCACTATTGGCACCAGATTAGGACATTCAAATGGGATTTCTCACGGGCGAACTGATTCCAAGGAAATTGGCTTCGCTTCGATACACAAGATTACGGATCTTACCAGTGAGCTATATCATGGGAACATGTAATGGGATCATACTTTTTTTAATAGTAAATTATATTTAA